TCGAATCGATTGGCGAATCGAATCGTGACAGTTGTTTTTTTAACCGAGGAGGAGGTGGAGAGATGAAGGGGGGGGGGGGCTGTTTGAAAGCATCGATCTCGCCCGATGAGCCTCAGGCGTCTGTGGAGGTGGCGGCGAGGACTTTTACTCACAACAAGCGATGCCTGCGATTACAGCTTCGGCAAAAATAAATAATAAGTATAACCCGTAAAAACAAAGTTTTTCACTCTAAATCCTTTATATGCGTGGCGGCTAGAGTCCTCTCGTCATCTGGCTTGAGATGGCTGCCACCTATGGGTCAGATGATTGTCTGCCAGTATTAAGCAATTGGTAATTAAATATTTAATTTGTTTTCCCTAAACAGTGTAAAATTTTGGAAATTTTTTTTACGAAAATTCATTGTCTCGCACAACGAGTCTGTGTGCAAAATGTCAGCTCGATTGGATCACGGGAAGTGGGTTAAAAAACGACCGAAAGATTTGCACGGTCGTAAGCAAGCAAGCAAGCACGCAAGCAAGCACGCAAGCAAGCGAACTTAATATAAAGGATTTTAAAAAAGGCGATGCTTGTTGCTGGCCGCTGGGCGTTTTGGCCCAGCAACCCGCGATTTAAACAAAAGCACGTGCTCAGCGTGTCCCCAGCGACTCGCCTCTCTCTAATCTCTCTTCGCCCCCACTCCTCAAACTCTCCCTTTGATCCCCTCCCCCCCTCACCCTGCCCAAAACCGATCCGCTTCACGTTCCTCCCATAGCCCCCCCCACCTCTCTCTTATCTCTCTCACCATCTATCTTCCGATCTCACGGCGATGAAGTGCCTGAAGTACGCACCGCATTGCACGTGTTCATGTTACAGACATAGCTTTGTAGCGCATGTATGGTGAACTCCTGTCGCACCGTACCGAGCCAAACACGTGTGAGTCTGTGAGTCTCGGCGTGAGTCTGTGGGTCTCTGTGTGAGTCTGTGGGTCTCTGTGTGAGTCTGTGGGTCTCTGTGTGAGTCTGTGGGTCTCTGTGTGAGTCTATGGGTCTCTGTGTGAGTCAATGAGTCTCTGTACGAGTCTATTGGTCTCTTTGTGAGTCTATGGGACCCCGTGTGAGTCTATGGGTCTCTGTGTGAGTCTATGGGTCTCTGTGTGAGTCTATGGGTCTCTGTATGAGTCTATGGGTCTATATGTGTGTCTATGGGTCTCTGTGTGAGTCTATGGGTCTCTGTGTGAGTCTATGGGTTTCTGTGTGAGTTTATGGGTCTTTGTGTGAGGAGTCTATGGGTCTCTGTGTGAGTCTATGTATGTTGAACTTCTTTCGCGCCGTACGTAGCCTAATCGGAGGTGCGGGGGAGAAGACACTAAACCAAACACAACAACAAGCAGTTCTAAAGAAATGAGCTTTCAATCGAGATGAAGCTTTGCTCAATCCACTGTTGGATGAGGGGCTTCCCCACGCCGTGCAGAGACCAAACTTAAAAATTTAACTATGAAACATGTTTTTATTTTACCAAGTCAGGCCCCACTGAGCTATGTAGCTCTTTTTCCGAAGCGACCTGGCTACCACAAATGATAGCAACCAACGACTCGAAACGCGTGACGTTGATTATCAATGCGGAGGGGGAAACCGGAGGACCCGGATAAGAATCCACATGGAGAGAGACACCGCAAACTCCAAAATATACAGCAGGCGTCAGGGTCGGGATCGAACCCACGACATCCGAGGTAGTTAACATCTCGTCCCTGACGTTAGCCGTGGCCGGGAATCAAACCCGGGTGGTGCGTTAGCCACTGCGCCGTCGCTCCGTCCACACAAAAGACTAAGGCAAAGATTCCCGTATAGCCTTAACAGACTGTAGGGGCAAGTGCTGTTAGCGAGCACCTATAAAGGAAGGCACGGCACACGAGGGGGTGGGTGGCCAACACCACGCTCGGCCGCCTTTGTCTCTCTAGTGGCGATGTTTACAAATCGCACCAAGTAGTTATTTGAGGCTGATTCGACCTAGGGGAGGCCCAGGACCGGTTCAGATGATCGTCACTGGTGGTGGCCGTGTGCGGGAATGGAACCCGGGTCGCCAGGTTCATAGCGCAGCGCGCGAACCGCTACACTACCGCTCCCCAGACACACACACACAGACACACAAACATCGCTTGAACAACACACATATTCATAATACAGTAATCGTAAAAAAAACGCGTAAACTAAAATCTAGAAACCAGGGTGTCATTTCAAATTAAATTCGGAATGAATACGACCACGGGAGTGATTTATGAATGCGGACATTGCCCGTGAGTCATGAATACAAACCCAGGGTGCATGGGGAGGGAAGTGAGTATCAGTGGAGTTTAATTGCATTTCGAATGGATAAGAATCGAAGTATCATCTTCCCTTGGAATAGCCCCGAGGCGCCATTGGGATGCAAAGTCCCTTCCAATTCCATGCGAGGGCTTTGTGCGCCGCGGTGGTGAGATGTTAACTGCCTCGCGCGGTTTACAGGAGGCCGTGGGTTCGATCCCGACCCCGATTGCCTGCTGTATATTTAGGAGTTTGCAGTGTCTCTCTCTTTCTCTAATCATCATCATCATGGTGGTGAGATGCTAACTATCTTGCCTGGTATATAGGAGGCCGTGGGTTCGATCCTGACCCTGATTGCCTGCTGTATATTTTGGAGTTTGCGGTGTCTCTCTCTTTCTATAATCATCATCATCATCACGGTGGTGAGATGTTAACTATCTTGCCTGGTATACAGGAGGCCGTGGGTTCGATCCTGACCCTGATTGCCTGCTGTATATTTTGGAGTTTGCGGTGTCTCTCTCTTTCTATAATCATCATCATCATCACGGTGGTGAGATGTTAACTATCTTGCCTGGTATATAGGAGGCCGTGGGTTCGATCCTGACCCTGATTGCCTGCTGTATATTTTGGAGTTTGCGGTGTCTCTCTCTTTCTATAATCATCATCATCATCACGGTGGTGAGATGTTAACTATCTTGCCTGGTATACAGGAGGTCGTGGGTTCGATCTCGACCCTGACGCTTGCTGTACCTTTGGAGTCCGCGTGCCTCTCTCTCCCTGGTCGCGTGGATTTTTCTCCGGGTCCTCCGGTTTTTCCCTCCACATTTAGAATCAACGTCACTCCTTCAGAGTATGTGGCCGCTGTAAATGTGCAGCACGATGGCAAAGGGGCAGCCCTGCAACTGCCGGCTTCACGGCAACTGCTGGCCGAAGGTCGCGGCCCCAGCTAGAAAGATCCAACTCCCCCCCGCCCCCCCCCCCCCCCCCCCCCCCCCCCCCCCCCCCCCCCCCCCCAGTCTCGCTCACCCCATGAGCTTACTTAGATTGTTTTTGCTGCTGTCAATTTCCACGCGTTGACGGTTATTTCGGCTGCTGTAGAGATCCAACGTGACAAGCCACTTCGTTCAGCCGTCAATTTTGACGGCTCGGGTCGCTCCTTAAAAAAGGAGCGAAACGTAACTGAGTGGTGGGCCTTACCGTTTGTAAAATAAAAAAAGCTGAATAGTTGAGTTTGTCATTTTTTGGTCCCTGCGTTAACGCGAGGGAGAGGTGGACATGCCGATACGGCGATGGAATTCGGCCGACTGATGAATCACCGATTCACTCCATTAGCTGCCACTCCGTAGCGAGTCTCGACCATCAGACTTTCTCATGCCCCCTCCGCCCCCCCCCCCGGCCGCCCCCCCCCATTTAATTACGTAGACAGTAATATGCAAAGGGTAAAAGACAAATGTTAGTGTTAGGGGGTCAATGAATTGGCGGTCACGAGACATCTGGACCGCCCTGTACATCGCCCTTCTCCATCGCGCCCTTCGCATCTACCACATCTCTCACCCCCCTCTGTCGCTCTCCCCTCGCATAGCCCCCACTCTCATCTCCCTTCGTCTCTCTCTCTAGAGAGACGAGAGAGAGAGGAGGGGGAGAGAGTGATAGCTCTCCCCACCCCCTCTCTCAATACCCTCCACCTCTCATCTCCCTCCCCCTCCCTCCTACCCGCCCACCTCGTCATCTTTCTTCATCATCCCAGTGTCTGAGAGACACCCCCCCCACTCCCCCCCCCCCCCGCACAAAAAAGCTTTAATCGAAATTCCTCCCCGTGCTCTTTCTCTCTCACTCTCTCGCTCTCCACGCGCTTAAGTCGAAACGCGCATCCTGTAGGCGTGGGCCACTCCTAGGTCACCGCGGCATGAAGGGAGCAGCTGCTTCGCCGTTTTCACGGTGCCCTGTTAATGGCATCGACGCCGGGCGGGCTCGGCACGGGCTCGGCACGGGTTCGGCACGGGCTCGGCACGGGCTCGGCACGGGTTCGGCACGGGCTCGGCACGGGTTCGGCACGGGCTCGGCACGGGTTCGGCACGGGCGCGCGCCGAGGGTGGTGGTCTCGAATCTACGGGCAGTCACATCGCACGCCCAATTTATAGTTACGCGATCGAACACACGAAAAAAAAAACCTGTATCGTGAATAACGTTGGTCGCCGAAGGCCTACGTGTCAAACGCCGATTGTGTGCCCGACTTGATTGGTCGCTCACTGACGCGTGGTGAGCTTCGTTTGCATCCGTACGTACGTAGCCCAACCGCGCTAATCGGAGGTGCCCGTACAATGCTGTGCGTTCGGCCTTGCCCAGACCACCAGCTCGTCACTGGTGTCGTTGTTGTTCGTGGTGGTGGTCGTGGCGGCGGCCTTCAGCGGGGAATCGAACTCGGGTGGCCCGGTTCGTGACGCCGCCGCGCTAACCGTTGCACCACCGCTCCCCATACCAACACAGCCGCCATTCGCCGCTAAGCGTCACCGCGGCGCCTGTGCCAGGCTAGGTGCACTTTGAGGCCGCGTGAAGTGTCGAAGGCTCGCAGACAGGAGGTCTCGGGACAGACCGAGAAGGTGCCATGGTGTTGGCTGACTGAGATGACCGGTAGATGCGCACCAGCTGTACCCCCGTACCACAACCACCGCCATCACATCACCACCAGTCACTTGCATAGCCACACAAAACTCCAACACGGCACGTATTTCATATCTTTAATTTTTTTTTAAATGGCACTTTGATACGATAGAACACACCATAACGCAAAGGGGAAAACCACATAAATGTCACTCATTGTTACATACCGTATACGTGTGAATAGAGAAAACACGGTCCTTACTTTGTAGTACTTCACTTGACAGCACCGTTGAGTCAAGATCAGCCGACCAATTTGACGATTCAATGCACGAACTTGGGACGGTCACGTGTTTTCGGTTCGTTTTGACGTTGGTTTGGTGCAGCAATAACACGACCAGTGAGTTCACGCAGCTCTGTCTCGTCTCTCTCTCTCGCGCGAGCTGCTGGTCTCTCGGCAAGCTGACAGCAATGTACATGCAATGTGTGTGGCGGGGTCACATGACACATGACATGCATGCAAGGCAAGATGGGTAAGGGTGCCACCCATTTTTGTCCACTGCAGACCAAACCCGGACCTCATTTCCCAGTCAGTACTTGGGTTACATTATTGTTATCAACACTGCGCGGTCGACTGTGAGAAGGTTGAACTCGGCAACACTGATCTCGGTTACAAATCAATTCGTGCAGTCAGAACCGGCCCGAGGGTCACGGCGAATCGGGGCGACTGCCCCGGGCCCCGCACATTGGGGTCGGGGGGCCCACGCAGTTTGATTTGCCCCGGGTCCCATACCTCCCCCCCACCCAACCCCATGGATGGCCCTGACTGTGTTCACCTATCCGGCTTTGACCCGGACAGGTGGCAACCGAGCGGCACGCCAAAATTAATACAATTTATCAATTGGTGGGTGTGTGAGTGGGTGGGTGAGTGAGTGGATGTGTGAGTGGGTGAGTGAGTGAGTGAGTGGGTGACTCACCCACTAACTCACTCACTCACCCACCCACCCACTCACTCACCCAGGGTGAGTGAGTGGGTGGGTGAGTGAGTGAGTGGGTGGGTGAGTGAGTAGGTGAGTGAGTGGGTGGGTGAGTGGGTGGTTGAGTGAGTGGGTGAGTGAGTGAGTAGGTGTTGTGCATGGTAGAGATGCCACCTTAGCCACTGTAGACCGAACCCCGGCAATCTACGTCTCAGTCAGCACGAGCGGCGAATTACCAAAAAGCGTGCAGTAAGACGCAGTTTGAACACAACGGCGTGAGCAGATCTCGGTACAAAACAATTCCTGTTGCCACCCGAACACAGACACAGTATGCTGATTCCCGGACTGTGGTGGGTCAGACCGGGACAGGGTGGCAACCCTTAACGATGGGAGCTGTTCCCCTCCATCGTGTTGCTGAATCCATCACATTTTGACCACAGACGATTCGCCACATTGTCTTCACGTGTGAGTTATGGTCGAGATGTGCTTATTACTAAATATCCTAGCAATACTCTTTCGCTACACCGCTACGATCTATCGAACGAAGTATCATTTTCATAGAGTCTCTCAAATAGCACCCGAATTAATTCAGCTCAATAGCTTTGTAAAGACACGCCACCGCTGACCGTAGAACAACGTCATCACGCCGCACTCGCGACACCACACGAAGGAGGTTCGATTTCCCGGCGCGGCAGTTTAAAGGGCGATCGATTTTATTAAATCCACCACCATCCCCCCCGCTGTGTCTGTCCACCCGACACTTATCTGCGGCAACACCACAGTCGATCGACGATTGACAGTTTTGCGTGTGGTGGTGGTGGGAAAAAGTGTGGGTAACCCCCCACGCATTCCCCAATGTGTCCAGCCAGCGTGGGAGAGTTAGACCAAGTTACCCTCCCTCCAGAGAGGAAGGTGGAGGGTTGGTGTGGGGGAGTGCAGTGCCGGATTATCCTCGTAGCACAAGTAGCTACTATATATGAAGTAGCTACTTCATATGTAGTAGTAGCTACTACATGTGTAGTAGCTACTACTACATACAGTATGTAGTAGCTACTACATATGTAGTAGCTACGGGCCCCACACTTTCAAGGGCCCTGCGCTAAATGCTTTCAAGCTATCAATTCCGGTTCAGCGATTCTGCACTTGCTCTATTACTATAGTACTATACCGCCTTCGACTTTTACGAACGACTGGGTGTTTAAGGTTATCGATTTGTCGTGTTACATGGCTGTATAGCAAATGAAAAGTTACAATAACTAACTGTGCAGGTAAAAAATTTGTGTTTTAATATTTAAGTGTTTAAAAAAAAAATTTAGGACCCCTTTATAACATACGCTACAGGCCTCGTATTAGCTTAATCCGGCACTGGGGTGGGGGTAGTTTGGGGGAGTAGTTTGGGGGGGTAGTTTGGGGGGGGGGGTCTCTTCAACTCTTTTCGAGTGGAGGCCCCATTTAGGACCAGCAAGGGGCGAGGTCGTGAGCCATTTGCAAGGGCGGTTACGCACCTCCCCTATCTACTGTGTCGAGTGGAGAAACAACCCCCCCCCACCCCCCATGAATGTGGTCATCCTAGACACGTGTTCAAGTCTCTTACAGTGACATTAAACAATATAAATAATAACAGGCCCATCGTCGTCATCGTAGTCATCGTCGTCGCCGTCCTCGTGAGAATACAAAAGTAAAGAATTCGACGGTCGCGCATCCGCCCTCAGCGGTTATCAACCGCCCGCACCCACGCGCTGCATTTGTCCACGTTGTGCGCGTCTGTCACGTTAATTTTAGTTTTTTTTTTAATCATTAAAGACGTTCACAGATCCGACCCGTTCACAGATCCGCCCACGCGAGTTGGACACGCGATGTCGCGCTGCAGCAGCAGCAGCAACAGCAGAATAAATCAGTCGAAATTTCTTTCCCCGGGATCGTAACGGGGGGCGGCAGTGGCTCAGTGGTGGGCAATTCCACATTCCCATGGCGTGGATGAGTTTCTCGGCGAAGATGGTCAACGTTGACTTCTGCACGAGGCAGTACGGTACTGATTTTACCGGCCACGGAGGGACTGATGGGCCGTGATTTTGTACTCGCGACTTTCCCCACCCCCCACTCCCCGAAACTAAAAGGGGCTCATGATTTTAAAAAAATATTATAATATTAGGGTGCGTTAAAATATCAGCTCAGACTCACGTGCTGAGAAAGCGAGTTCGTTAACATTTCAAACCAATGAATTTCTCTCACCTCCCAATCTTATCTGCAATCTCTCTTCTACCAACGCGCTTGGAGTTTATAAATTGAAAAAGAAGAGGGGGGGGGGGTGTGGAGGTGGGGCGGTTTGGAGGGCAACTCAAAACGGGATTAGCACCCACCGTTTGGCTACAATAATATTCATGACACACAACGATAATATTTGCAATTATAATAATAATAATAATCGTGATTATAATCAGGGTGATAGCCGGGCACACGCACACACACACACGCACACGCACCGCGTCATTCTGCAGAGTCATTCCCCGTTTCGTTCCCCCCCCCCCCGAGTCTGTCATTCCCTCGAGTCGATAAGAGTGAGCGCCACCGTGCGAGCGAGTCGACAGCGGTTGCGCCACCCAAGGGGAAGGGACACGCCAGCCGCCGTGTGAACGGTGGAATTTCCGCCACTGGGCTGAAGAGCGGGAGATGGGCGACGCGTCGATGCTCGTCTTGACCGCGGTGATCCCCATGGGTCTCCGGGAGCGTTGGGACGCGCCACGGGTGGCGACGGTCCCTTGAAACCTCCTCACCCTCCTCCTGCCCGTTCCCCCCCCCCCCCCCCACACTTTCTGACCAAAAAATCCCGGTCCAAAAAAATGAACGAAAACGGCGGGCGAGGCTCGGAATGGGATCGTGTGTTAAAGAGGTTCATGGCTTTGAGGTCAAATTAAGGGGTCAGGGTCAAGTGATGATGGGGTGGGTGGGGGTGAGTTGAGAGGAGAGGGGTGGGGGGGGGGTCAGAGGGCATGACCGGTAGCTGCCTCTAGTTGCGCTCCTGACAGCTGACGCCAACGACGTTGTCAGGGCAACGGCAGGTGCGTCCGCCGAGCGTGGCCAGGCACAAGTGCGTGCAGCCGCCATTGTTTGCCGAGCAGTGGTTCTGACCTGTGGGGGGAGGAGAGGGGAGGGGGGGGGGGTCAGATGAGGTCACGGTGATTAATAGAGCGGTCGTTGTTGGTATCGGTTCGGTTGAAGCCACGGTAACAATGTAGAGTTTCCATCGAAGATGTTGTTTAGGTTGTTAATGGGAATGTTTTGCTACTTATTTTAGTTTCACCTAAACGTTTTGCGAAGAATAGTCTTCAGGCCCCCACCTGCTCAAGCCCCCACCTGGTCAGACCCTCACCTGGTTCAGGCTCTCACCTGGTCAGACCCTCACCTGGTTCAGGCTTTCACCTGGTCAGACCCCCACCTGGTTCAGGCTCTCACCTGGTCAGACCCTGACCTGGTTCAGGCTCTCACCTGGTCAGACCCCCACCTGGTTCAGGCTCTCACCTGGTCAGACCCCCACCTGGTTCAGGCTCTCACCTGGTCAGACCCCCACCTGGTTCAGGCTCTCACCTGGTCAGACCCCCACCTGGTTCATGCTCTCACCTGGTCAGACCCTGACCTGGTTCAGGCTCTCACCTGGTCAGACCCCCACCTGGTTCAGGCTCTCACCTGGTCAGACCCCCACCTGGTTCAGGCTCTCACCTGGTCAGACCCTCACCTGGTTCAGACCCTCACCTGGTTCAGGCTCTCACCTGGTTCAGACCCTCGTGTTTATTAATATTGTTATTATCATCATTTAAGCAATGTCATTTTGTCCAGTTCTGGCAATGGCACCGCATTACCACATCACACCTTGTCCGCTATCAATATCATCACCACCATCATAACCATCATCGCAACAGTCGATATTTGGATCGGTGGTTTTCCATTCGGTTTGTCCTTCAAGGACCAATCTTACCGTCTCATCAGCACCATTTGTCCACAAATACACAAAAGACAAATATCATCAGTATAGCCTCACCAGCCTTTTGGGTTAAGTGCTGTTTGCGAGCACCGACAAAGGCCGGTATGGGTGGCCAACACGATGCCTGGTCGCCTTTGTCTCCCGAGTGGTTTTGTTTAAAACGCCACACCAGATACTCATTTGAGGCTGAGTCGACCTAGGAGAGGCCCAGGACCGATTCAGATAATCATCACTGCTGTTGGTCGTGAGCGGGAATCGAACTCGGGTCGCCGGGTTCATAGTGCACGCGCACACACGCACGCGCACACACACACACACGTGCGTGCACCCAGCCTGGCGCATCCCCTGCCAGGTCTCCTGTGTCATTTCTCGATTCCCCGTCTCGTCCGCTCGCCATGCTCTCTTTCTGCACCGGGGGGCTCCGAGCAAATTACATTCCGTGTCGGGGCCCAGCCGTTTGAAAATAAATAAAATGACACCGTCTTCTCACCCCCGGGTTAAGCCCTGCCACCAGGTGGGAATTCTTTTTGACAAAAAATATGAAACAAGTAAAAAAGAAACTCAAATAAAAAAAATTACTTTACAATTTCATACAAAAGTGATTTTTTTTGTCCAAATTTTTTTTTTTACCAGTTTTTACGATGAATATCTTTTTTAAACGTACAAATAAAGAAGCCAATTTGCACAGCATTTAAAATGAATAAATTGTGACGGCTCTCGTGTAAAGATTTTGGGATGGAGGTTCATGAGGCCGTTGTGTTTCCCGTGGTTTATGGGCCACGCCACAGGTGAGGGCGCCACGGTGACTAGGAGATGTTAACTCCCTCGCCTCGTGTACAGGATGTCATGGGTTCGATCCCGACCCTGACGCCTGCTGTACCTTTGGAGTCCGCGTGCCTCTCTCCCCCTGGTCGCGTGGATTTTTCTCCGGGTCCTCCGGTTTTTCCCTCCACATTTAGAATCAACGTCACTCCTTCAGAGTATGTGGCCGCTGTAAATGTGCAGCACGATGGCAAAGGGGCAGCCCTGCAACTGCCGGCTTCACGGCAGCTGCTGTCCGAAGGTCGCGGCCCCAGCTAAAAAGATCCAACTCCCCCCCGCCCCCCCAGTCTCGCTCACCCCATGAGATTATTTAAATAGTTTTGCTGCTGTCAATTTCCACATGAATACGTCACTTTGTTGAGCCATAATTTGTGGCCAGGTCACTTCTAAAAAAGAGCTGTACTGTACATCTCAGCGGGCCTTACCTGGTAAATAAACAAAAAATGCTCAGCATGTAGTTCAGTTTGTATCTGAACTTGAGATAACACAACTTGGCTGAACCCCTCGATTTGAACCCAGTGGGAAACTCAGCGGGCACTGGCGCAAAAATAATAACAAAAAAAACAAAAAACTACGTAGCGCCAGTTCCGATCGTGAATTTCTTTGGCGGACGTGCCTTTGGCGGGAATTAAAAACGTCTCATTAAAACCGAGAGGTTTCGGCCGGTGAGCCTGCTGAACATCTGCTCGGCAGATGTGTGAACGTGGGCAAAATCACAACTCACCCGAGCGTGGCTTGTTTTGTACGTAATGAAATAATGGCTGCGGCGGGAGGGGGGATGTAATTAAAATTCGCGAGTGGCCTCTCGTTAAAAAAATATAAAAATATGTTAACGTGACTTTCATTCTTTTTACGATTCACAGCGACTCTCAACTTTATTAGGAGGTTCGCGCGAACTGGACGGGTGTTGGAACATCGATTCCCAACGGTGATTGCGACAGCGCTCCCTTCGGTCGCAGCGGTGGCTAGGAGATGTTAACTCCCTCGCCTGGTACGCAGGAGGTCGTGGGTTCAATCCCGACCCTGACGTGTGCTGTATATCTGGAGTTTACGTGTCTCTCTCTCTCATCATCATCACGGTGGCTAGGAGATGTTAACTCCCTCGCCTGGTACGCAGGAGGTCGTGGGTTCGACCCCGACCCTGACGTGTGCTGTATATTTGGAGTTTACGTGTCTCTCTCTCATCATCATCACGGTGGCTAGGAGATGTTAACTCCCTCACCTGGTACGCAGGAGGTCGTGGATTCGATCCCGACCCTAACGTGTCCTGTATATTTGGAGTTTACGTGTCTCTCTCTCTCATCATCATCACGGTGGCTAGGAGATGTTAACTCCCTCGCCTGGTACGCAGGAGGTCGTGGGTTCTATCCCGACCCTGACGCCTGCTGTATATTTGTAGTTTGCATCTCATTCTCTCCCTGTGGTCGCGTGGATTTTTTTCTCCGAATCCTCCGGTTTCCCCTCCACATCCAGAATCAACGTCACGCGTTTAAAGCATTTGGCTGCTGCTATGTATTTCACGTGATGATACACCGCTTTAGTTGAGCTATCGTTCGTGATAGCCAGGTCGCTTGTGAACACAAAATTAACAGCTAACTTGTATGTCATCTATTTCCACTTCCTAATCGTGCTGTTTGTCGCTGGCCGTTTGGCGTTTCAGTGATTTTTGTTTGTTTCTGGGACCCTGCGCTCAGCTTAAAAACCGCGGCCCATCTTCAATCCCGCACACACGAGGGATCATGTGGGACGTGCTTTTCCTTGGCACAAAGATGTTCTGTTTAATTATATTATTGTATTGTGTTTTCATTAAATGCTCTCTCTAAACAAAACGAGTCGACGGTACAAACAGTGAATTATAAACCGCAAAAGAGAGGCTCTGGTTTGTTAGGCGGATGTGGGTTTGGGGTCAGGCTTAGGTCATCATCTTCTCAAACGTGGAGCTCGCTCTTGCGTTCTCTTTGTCACTCTATCTCTCTCTCTCGCTCCCTCCTACTCTCTCTCTCTCGCTCGCCCATGCTCTCTCACCCTCTCTTTCTCTCTCTTTTGCTCTCTCTCGCTCTCTCATCCTCTCTCGCTCTCTCTCGCTCCCTCCTACTCTCTCACTCTCTCATGCTCTCTCACCCTCTCTCGCTCTCTCTCGCTTTCTCTCGCCCTGTTTCGCTCTCTCTCGGTCGCGCTCTCTCTCTCTTGCTCTCTCTCTCTCATCCGCTCTCTCTGTCTCACTCTCTCTTTCACACTCTAGCCTTCTTATAGAAACGTCTTTCTCTGCCAAATTCTGCGTCGCGTGGATTTTACATAAATATTGCACTGTGGGAAGACAGTGGTGATGCTGTAGTACGGATGAAGAAGACAATGGTGATGATGATGATGTTAATGAAGGTGACGATAATCGTGATGGTGATGACAATGCACGATGATGAAGAAGATAACGATTATGATGACAATGAAGATGATGCATCCAATGTAGATGATGATGATGATGGTGGTGATGATGATGACGACAATTAAGAAGGCGATGACAACGATGGTAATATAATCAATGAAAAAAATGACAAAAAACGACGATGATGACGATTATGGCAATGATTCCCAACGATTCAGGTGCTCCGTCGCAACAGGAGGGCGCGCTGTGGGTATACGGCAGCGATGCTGTACGGGTGATCAAGACGATGGCGATGATGACAGTGCCGATGAATACAATGATGATGACGGTGATGACTGTGGTGACGATGACCTCAACCGGTGTATGTGTCCTGCTGTACCTGGGGGGGGGGCACTCTGGGTCGACGGTGGTCATGCAGTACAGGCGATGAAAACAATGGCAATGATGACAATGATGATGACGATGATGATGACGACGACGATGACGATGATGATGACGACGATGATGACGATGATCGTGAGGATGATCTCTGTCACCGTAGCCGTACCGGGGGGGGGGGGGGCACTGTGGGTAGATGGTGGCGATGCCGTGAGAGTGATGACACGATGCCAATGAGTATGAACTAAATGCCAATGAAGAATAGAATAATGACGACGATGATGATGACGATGGTCAGGATAACGATCATGACGACCATCATTATGACGATCATGACGATGATCGTGACGACGATCATGACGATGGTCGTGATGATCATCGTGACGTCGATCATGACGATGATCATGATGATGATCATGAAGACGATCACGACAATGATGAAGATGACGATGATCGTGCCGATGATCATGATTATGATAACGATCATGACGGCGATCATGACAATTATCATGATGATCGTGACGATGATCATGACGATGATCATGATGACCATCGTGACGACGATCGTGACGTCGATCATGATGATGATCATGACGACGATCACGACAACGATGATGATGATCGTGACGATGATCATGATGATCATGATCACGATCATGACGGCGATCACGACAACGATCATGATGACGATCATGATGACGATCATGACGACGATCATGACGACGACGATCAACACGATGATCCCCGGTCACCGTAGCCGTACCTGGGGGGCACTGCGGGTAGACGGTGGCGATGCCGTAGGGGTGAGAGCGCTGCGTGGGCGTGTGCTCGTCCGTCTGCTGCCCCTGCGACGCCGCGACCACCGCGTCGCTGCGGTGATGTCACCATCGAGGGGAAGGGGTGGGGGCCAGGGGGGTGGCGGGGGGGAAGAAGAGGGGAGGGGGCAATGGAAAAGTGGGAGCGTTAAAAAACATTATCACCGTTGTGATGATTGTGGGCAAAGAGATGACGATGGTGATGGCTATGACAGGATACAAGGAGGCAACCTCACAATCCCGCACTCTCTCATGTTGCTAGCTTTGTAAGTAATTTTGTTTTAAAATAACAAATGTTATTTCGTATTATTTTTCTACGCGTGAATCTTTGGTGACCGGTCTGAGAACATCAACTCATTGCATTTAAGAACCCCTTTTAATCACAACGATGAGTCTACGAGTCTCTACGTGAGTCTGTGGCTGTCTATGTGAGTCTGGCGCTCTCCGTGAGTCTATGAGTCTCTCTGTGAGTCTGTGAGTCTCTCTGTGAGTCTATGAGTCTCTATATAAGTAATTGGTGACCAGGCTGAGATAATCAACTCGCTATAAGACAGGTATATTAACTTGTCCACATCGCCCAATGCTATCGTAATTATGAAATTGATTACTTTTTTGGAAAAAGGCGTTCGCCGCGCAAAACTAAATATTTAATTCCGAGTAAAAAAAAAATAATAACAGCAACAAACAACCCAATAACTCAACGCCAATTAGAATGCGAAAGTCGTTTCGTGAAACCAGCCTCCCAGGGCTGAATTTGGACAAAACGGCTTCTGTTTGGCAGAGCGAGCAAGTGGGGATATTGATCCAGAACACCCCCCCCCCAGACACCCACTCCGCTGACCCCCCCCTGCCCACACCCCCACCCCCTCCCATCACTCCGCTCTCAGGAGTTTTTTGTTGTTGGTCTGAGCTCAAAGATGCCGGTGTCTGAGACACGGCGCAGACGCTCGCTCGCCCAGCGGAGCTCGAGACAAAGTCGTCAGATGTCGCCGGATTGAACCTTCTACCCCGGTGCTTCTTAACCTTCGCTGCAGCCTTGCACCCCCCCCACCCCACCCCACCCCCCTTTGGTTCTCCATCAGGACAAAAATGTACAACGTTAATAAAATGCAGAGGCGGTAAAATTTCGATTTAAAGCTTTCGTGACTGCAGGGATTCATCTTCTTGGTTCTTTCGGTAAAGTCACGTAGAAGGGAAGTAATAAAATAATAAAAATAAAACATAATAAAACGTCGTGAGAAGTATTTTATTAATGTTTTATTTTTATTATTTTATTACTTCCCTTCTACGTGACTTTACCGAAAGAACCAAGATGAAAAATGCAGAGGGTTTGATGAAACAAAGCAAGTTGTCGCAACTGACGTGCCCGCGCGTGATTTGTGTTTTCGATGATTTACCTTCGAACAAAGAATCAGGCCATGTCTCGCACCTTCCCCCCCCCCAGAAAGGGCACCTCGCACCCCCAGGGAGTGCATGCACCCCAGGTTAAGAACCACCGGGTCATGCGGTACTCTCTCGATTATCCGCGTGCGCTTTGTCCGAATTGCGGATAAACCGCGTGAGATTTTGACACAACTAATAACAACTCGTTGGTTTTACCCCCTCAAGCCCAAATTAATTATCGAAAAACGGCCGTGTATTTTTCTTCTTGGAAATGTTTATGACAAGTCACAGTGCTTAAACCGAACAAATACGTTGCTCCGTTTCGATTTAAAGCTTTCGTGACTGCAGGGATTCATCTTCTTGGTTCTTTCGGTAAAGTGACGTAGAAGGGAAGTAATAAAATAATAAAAATAAAACATAATAAAATATTTTATTATGTTTCATTTTCATTATTTTATTACTTCCCTTCTACGTGACTTTACCGAAAAAACCAAGAAGATATGTTGCTCCAGTTCATCCGAAATCCACGTGATCTCCTCTACAGTACAGTAGTTGCCATATCTTTACACACAGTGGGCGGAGTTTTATTGACTGATGATTGGCGTGGCTCTGCTGCTGTCCACCTAGTGGGCCGGGTCGTCTGCGCGGGAGCAGGAAAGTGTCATTATCACCGAAAGTGCAATTATCACCGAGCAAGCGCATCGATCGGCCTATTGTTTATTACAAATTTTAGTTTTGTTCATCAACGAAATAAATTTTCACAACTTAAACGTAATTTGCACCTATGTCAGTGGTTTTTTTTTATTGGCAAAGAGATCCGTGGAATTTTTTAAATATTTTTGGATTATCCACGATTTTTTAAAATTATCCACGACTTTTTAAGCATCCGCGGCCGTCCTCCCCGTCAATAGCGTGGACAATCGAGACTCGACTGCGAGTTCGGATGTCCATCACACCGCCAGGCGATGTTACCCAAGTATCCCACGGAATGAACCGGTAATAAAACGGTAACTCTACATACCTGCAGGCTATCACAACAGCAACCCGTTTGCATGTATGTACGTTGAACTTCTTTCGCGCCGTACGTAGCCAACCGCGCTAATCGGAGGTGCGGAGGGGAAGGACAACAAACTAAACACACAAAATAAAAGCAATTCGCTGGGGAAGCCCAAAGTAATGAACTTGCCGATCTGGCAGCGAAATCGCCGTTGTTGTTGTTGTTACTTTCTGACTCGCCCCCTACTCGACATCTGTGAAAAAGAGCTTCACAACTCATCGGATTCCTCCTCCTCCAATATTAAATCCAGCTGCTGATTCCGAACACTGCAGCTCAGCGAGGGCTGCGTTTTTGAAGTGCCCTTCCCCCTCCATCCGCAGCCCCCCTCTCCCACCCAGCCCCCACCCTCACCCCACCCCCCCTCCTCCTCTTCCCCAAGCCCCCCCCCCATCCCCCATCTCGTCACAGAGGCTTCCCTATCCTGCAGCACTGGGGCGGTGTCGGTGGCTCCGAAAACCAAACCCTCAGGCTCGCTCCATGTCCCTAACCGGCGGGCACTCCTGGAAACACAAACACGGGCAGTGGAGGCTTGAGGTGTGGAGAGTATTTATATTTGGCTGCTGCTACAGCTGCTGCTGCTGTACATTTTTCACGCGATCATAAAGCCACTTTCATTGAGCGATCATTTGTGATAGCAAGGTCGCTTTTGAAAAAGAGCTATGGAAAGCTCAGTGGGCCTTACGTGGTAAAATACATTAAAATAAATAGTTTTAGTCGTTGTGTGCTGCTGAAGAAGCGATACATTCGCCGCGTTTGATTCTCTCCCCGTGGTCACGTGGATATTTCTCCGGCTCCTCAGGGTTTTCCCTTTGAATCAACATGCGTTTGTGGAATGTTTGGCTGGGTCTCTGTGTGAGTCTATGGGTTTCTAAGTGAGTCTATGGGTGTCTGTGTGAGTCGATGGGTCTCTGTGTGAGTCTATGGGTGTCTGTGTGAGTCGATGGGTCTCTGTGTGAGTCTGTGGGTCTGTGTGTGAGTCGATGGGTCTCTGTGTGAGTCTGTGGGTCTCTGTGTGAGTCGATGGGTCTCTGTGTGAGTCTGTGGGTCTCTGTGTGAGTCGATGGGTCTCTGTGTGAGTCGATGGGTCTCTGTGTGAGTCTATGGGTCTCTGTGTGAGTCTGTGGGTCTCTGTGTGAGTCGATGGGTCTGTGTGTGAGTCGATGGGTCTGTGTGTGAGTCTATGGGTCTATGTGTGAGTCTGTGGGTCTCTGTGTGAGTCGATGGGTCTGTGTGTGAGTCGATGGGTCTGTGTGTGAGTCGATGGGTCTGTGTGTGAGTCTGTGGGTCTCTGTGTGAGTCTGTGGGTCTCTGTGTGAGTCTGTGGGTCTCTGTGTGAGTCGATGGGTCTGTGTGTGAGTCGATGGGTCTGTGTGTGAGTCTATGGGTCTCTGTGTGAGTCTGTGGGTCTCTGTGTGAGTCGATGGGTCTGTGTGTGAGTCGATGGGTCTCTGTGTGAGTCGATGGGTCTGTGTGTGAGTCTGTGGGTCTGTGTGTGAGTCGATGGGTCTCTGTGTGAGTCGATGGGTCTGTGTGTGAGTCTATGGGTCTCTGTGTGAGTCGATGGGTCTGTGTGTGAGTCTATCTATGTTGAACTTTTTCACACCGCACTTAGCAAACCATGCTCATTGGGGGTGCGGGGGGGGGGGTAAAACAAACTAAACACAAAAAGGAGTTCTAAAGAAATTCGTTTTCAATCTGGATTCAAAAATGTGTCGCAGTCCATTACTCGTGGACTCTGCTACACGTCCCAATGTGGCGGGGAAGCCTCCAGACAAAGTGGAGATACATTTTAAGGTGCAATTTTATTGACGGGCTTGCTGTGCTCTGGGACTGTTGTTATTGTTGTTGTATTGCTGCCTTGACCAAAGCTTGCATTTAGTGTCGGAAAATCGGCTGTAATTTACGCACTTATGCAATTTGTACTTATTTGTATTCATTCGTATTTGATTTATTTATTACAAATTATTCCCTTACCTTTCCCCTACTTTGCACTCCGATCGATGTTTTGTCGCTGTATTGTTTGCTGCTTACAACTCGCTGACCCCCGCGGCCCCTCTACTGGACATCTGTGAAGTAAAAAGAGCTTTATAGTTCATCGGATTCCTTCTTGCAGTCTAAAAAATAAAGAGACTCCGTCTCTGAGTCCTGGGATTCAGCCAGGCTTTAATGGATATATAAAAATAATGCAAGTATTATTCTTATTACGATCTCTCGCGAGACAAACAGCCACGCTCTCTTTCACACACTCGCCTTGCCGCTGCTGCTGTGGTTGTTGTCTTTAATTGGTCTCTCGCTCTCACACTTATTGCTTCGCCCTTTAAAAAATTAACCCGTAAAAACAAAGTTTTTCACTATAAATCCTTTATATGCGTGGCATCGGTTTTATTTTATTATTCATTTCTGTTTTTCTTGAGTAAGAGTTTCATTTTTATCACATTGGTATTTTAAATTAAATATGAATTTTTTTTCTTCCTAAAAAGTGGAAAATTTTGGAATTTTTTTTCACGAAAATAAATTGTCACGCACAACGAGTCTGTGTGCAAAATGTCAGCTCGATTGGATCACGGGAAGTGGGTTTAAAAAACGACCGAAAGATTTGCACGGTCGTAAGCGCG